AAGAAGCCAAGCTCCTGAAAGAGCCCTGACTTGTTTCTAGTTGGAGGCGGTGATGGAAGGGTTTCATTGATTGTATTTAACCTGGTATTGAGTGTCATGTGTCAGTGGGTCAGCAAGGGTCAGCCTGGGTGCCTACAGCCGTGGTCCAGGGGCACCAGAAGACCTGGGTTGGCTTGGGATTGTGAGGGGCACAGTTGCAGCATTTGCTGTGGAATGCAGGCAGACCAGCCCCTCTGTTCCCCTCCTCCTGAGCAGAGCTGCAGTGGGTCTGGCCCGCACTAAGGACGCCTGCATATTAATCCCCTCAGGCCAGTGGCTGCCACCCTAAGAATCATGCTGGGTCTCGGTTGGTTGCAGGGGCCAACTGTCCCAGGGTGGACTCCTGACCCAAAGCTACTACTGCTCCGCGCTGTTGCCAGGACCGGGAGCAGTTGCAGGATGATGGGGGCTCGCAGGAAGGCGCTGCTTTGCGAAGAGGGCACTGGAACTGAGGGCGTGCGTCCCTTTGGGTCTCCGGCACCCTGCCAGCAGCGTGTCACGCTTGAGTTGCACCTTCAAATGATAGTGTTTTTCAGGCACGGCTCTGGGGCTTGGTACCTAGGCCATCTCGCGCTCCTGCTAGTAGCTTGCTCTGTCCCTCCAGCTCAGCCAGGTTCTCTCAAGGTTGAAACTTACCACTGTGCCCATGGCCGGAGGCTCCCTGGTCTTCCCCGCCTCGAACATTTCGTGATTGCGGGAGGTTACCTGTAGTCATCCCAGTGGCAGGAAGCAGACTGGCCAAGAGCGCCCTCTGCTGGAAAGAGTACACACCCCTTCCTCGCCAGGGCGTAGCCAGGGCCTGGCTCAGTGGCCTTTGCCCCTGGCCTGCTGAGGACTTTGCACCCGACCTGCCCCTGTCCTGGAGACACCCTACCCCACTGCTCACCCCCAACACATTGTATTGTCTTGCCTGGTGACCTTGGTTTTCCCTTTTCTGTGGATGCCAGTGCCAGGGCCTGTGTCAAATGGCCCAGAGAGGCAAAAAGGCTGCAGAATCTAGGGTAATTTCCCCCAGAAACAGGATGGGAAGCCCCAGGGAGAGCTTTCTAAGGTGACTTAGATCTGGAGGATCTTGAGACAGGACCCTGAAACTTAGTAGAGTAATGCTGAGGAAGTAAGAGGCCTTCCTTAGCCTGAATGAGGGCTTCCAGGCAGGGTATCTGGAACCTGCCCTTCCAGCATGTGTGAAGGGAGGGTGTGTTCCTGGTTCAGTAGGGCTCCAGTTGGTAGCATTTTCTCTGAAGAGGTGACGGCCTGACAACTTCCTTGGGGTCTAAGTAGAAGGAATGTTTAGAGTCCAATGAAAAGTTGTAGCTGTAAACTACTGGGGAACCTACTGGGATGGGGCTATGCCTACATGGGTTCCCTTAGTCTGCTAGCTCTGTTTACTCAAGTGAGGGGAGGAGTTTGCTGAGCTTGCAAGGCGAAGTTGGCCCTTATCCATTTTGCGCCCTTTAGGGAGACATCAGGCATTTGCACCCACTGGAATCCAAAGTAGAGCTCAAGAGTCTACTATTCCTGGCTTGCTTTCTTGAGGGGCGTGGTGGGGAATTTGGGGGTCAACACTGCCACCTTTTGCCTAGTGATTTGAAAACCAAGTCTTGTTCAAATCTTAAGGTAAGGACTAATGATAGAAAGAGGGGAGGAGGCCATACCAGAGACTCTGTGCCTTGTGTATATACTTGCCGGTGTTCTTCTCTTTGATAGACAAAAGTTTGGAGAAAACTAGAAAATGATGTGCCTTCTTCCTGACATTTATACATGCCACACTTTAAGAAAAATTATTTTATTATTTATTTATTTATTTTGAGACAGAGTCTCACTTTGTCACTCTTAGTAGAATGCTGTGGCATCATAGCTCACAGCAACCTCAAACTCTTGTCCTCAAGGGATCCTCTTGTCTCAGCCTCTTAAGCAGCTGAAACTGACTACAGGAGCCTACCACAATGCCCAGCTTTTTTTTTTTTTTTTTTTAAGAGACAGAGTCTTGCTCTTGCTCAGGCTGGTCTCAAACTCCTGAGCTCAAGCAGTCCGTCTGCATTGGCCTCACACCCAGCCCTTATTTTATTTTTTTAGAGCTAGGATTATACTCTATCTCTCAGACTGGAGTGCAGTGGTACAATCATAGCTTACTGCAGCCTCAAACTCCTAGGCTTAAGCAATCCTGCCTCAGCCTCCCAAGTGGCTGGAGTTCCACTCCAGGCTCAAACCACCACACCTGGCTAATTTTTAAAATTTGTTGTCAAGATGGCGGTCTTGTTATATTGCCCAGGCTGGTCTTAAACTCTTGTCCTCAAGTGATCCTCACTATTCAGTTTCCCAAAGTTCTGAGATTATAGCTGTGAACCACAGAGCCTGGCCCCACATGCCACACATTGAATGTTACTTTATTACTTTGTTTTTCTGGTCAAGGTCGCCCTTTTCAGGTCTTGCCCAAATTCTACCCAGAAAAGACTTAGGAGGAGAAGTTGGTGGTTTGCATCCTACTTTGCTTTCCTTGGAGAAAGATATATCTCTGGATTTCACAAAGTGAATAAAATGTGATGTTTGTGACTTCCATTGTACTGTAACTTCTGCTATCCCTTGTAAACCCTATCCGAACATCAAGAGGTAGGAGTTATTCACCATCGCTTACCGAGAAACAGGTTCAGAGAAGTTAAGTGATTTGCTGTGTGGTGTGGATCATAGAAAGAGGAGCTGGGACTTGAACTCGGGTCTGGCTCGACTCCAGAACTGGTGATCTTTTGTCTCTGTGCCTCAGGACTGTACCCTCTTGCCAACAGTCAACCAACATAAGGATGTGTGTTGAAAAGAACTCATTGAAATGATAAACCAGAATCTATTCTATAAACCAGTAAATCAGTCTGAGACTCATGACAGTGAGTGAGAAGGTGTGGGTATTTGGTGGACTCCCTGATTCAGAATGGTTGACAGGGAAGGATAACCTTTTGTCTTCTATTTGGAGCCTGAGAGACCTGAGTTCAGAGCCCACATTGTTACTGTGGCCAGCTTTGGGGAAGTGACTCTGCCTCTGAACCTGTTTTACCATCCATACTGGTATCATTGTGGTGAGAAAGATGGGTAACACAGGTGAAGCTCCTGGGGGCAGTTGCTCCTGCTGTCCCTATGAGGGTTGCACTTATTGAGAAACCTGCTCTGGGAGACAAGCTAGCAGACCAGCTTGTTCTGATCCTGATGGCGAAGGAGGGACCCACCCAACCCATGCTGGGTTGGACCCAGAGGAAATGAGGAGGCTGTGTGAAGCCCAGGCAGCAGGTGTGGCCCTGGAGGGGCCCCTGGGATTGGCCTGGACACTGGTTCCTTTTCCGCTGTTACCTAGATATACCAACTCCCTCTAGTTCCGGTTTGCTAGAGACAGGAAATTAGACCTCCTCCAGAGGACCTGGAAGGGGAGGGGGCTGCAGGAACCGACCTTCCTCAGAAGTCAGGAGACCAGGGGGTCTCAACCTTGGATCAGACTTCCCCTCTAATCGTCTGGGCAGGAGCATGGGGTAGGTGTACCCAGCTGGGAGAAGGTGTGGCCCTAGAGAACGAGGCCCTGGGTGAAGGCCTAGCTTCCCTCTCTGTCCTCTGAGTCAGGGTGGGGCTGGGACCGCAAGGAAGGTTCGCGTTGGCAACTTTCAAAACTTGGGTTCCTGACATTGAAGGATTCGAATCCTTTAAATATGGTATCACCTTGTGGTCACAGCAGCCTCTTCCAGACCAGCTCTTTAGGGTTTGGGGCTTCTGAGGAATCAGACAGTCCTGCCACTACTGGCTTTGTTATCCAGAGCAAGTGCCCGTACCTCTCTAAGCCCACCTTCCTCATCTGTAAGGGAGGGTCAGAATTCCAACTCATGGGGTATTTGGACAATTAACTGAGATAGTGTATACAGAATGCCTAGCTAGGTGCCTCGTACAGGGAAATGGCAACAAACACAGCCATTGTTTTTTGATGATTATTACCCTGAGGTCTAGAGAGGGAGCATTCCCTGACCTCCAGCAGGTTACCAGGGAGCTGAGAGTGAGCAAGTCTGTGAGCATGGCTGGAATGAGGGTGTGGCATCAGGGGCCCGGCTGTCTGGTTTATGGAGCTGTTGAGGGGCCCAGGAGGGGAGGAGGGGAATGTCAGCACTTCATACCTCTGCCCTTCCAGCTGTGCCCTTCTCATCTGGGGATAGGGCAGACCTGGCTTCCAGGTGTCAGAGTAATAGAAGCTTGTGCTTAAGGGCTGATTTGGCTTCCTTGCTGCTATTAAAAGCAGAATAGTGAGGCCATGGAGCCTCTGGGGCCAGGCTGCTGGCTAAGCTTCCACAGAAACAGCAAATGGAGCATTCTTGCCCCCCTCACTCACCAAAAGGGTGGGGACTACTGCACCAGTCTTATTCCAACTCCCACCTCCTCACACACCTTATCCCATAGTCTGGAGCCTCAGAAAGAGCTGAGAGCCTGGGGTTCTGCTTCTGCCTGGTCAGGAGGGCAGGTGCTGCCTCAGGTGCCCCCTCTAGTCTGGGAGCTGAGACAGCCTAGGCCCTTGGAAGTTAAGTGAGGGCCTGGCACTGCCCAGGCCCCTCCCTGTGACGTGGGGCCCCTCCCGCCCATCTCTCTGCATTGCCCTGCAGATCCAAAGTTCTAGGCAGGCATTTCTCACTCACAGCCAGCTGCATAGCCCTGTTGGGAGGGGAGACAGAGCCAGATGCTGGCTCCTAGAGGTAGGAGAGGGCCCTCTAGGAGTGAACCTCCAGAGTACCTTTGGTTTGGGGTCGGGAGAAGAAGTCAGCCCCGGGAGCCAGTTCTTGGCTAAGCTGGTCTGGGCTGATAGCTTTCTGTCCTCAGCTGGTTTCTCTGGAGTATGGGACAAGTGCTAGAGGCATTAACTCCTGAGGCTGGGAGCAGACACTGCCTCCTGGGGTTCCCAGGGCCCCTTGTTCTTACCTGCTTCCTGTGCCTTCTCTTCACAGATGCCCTGCTGGCGGATCTGGAGTCCACCACCTCCCACATCTCCAAGCGGCCCGTGTTCTTGTCTGAGGAGACCCCCTACTCATACCCAACTGGAAATCACACATACCAGGAGATTGCTGTGCCTCCCCCTGTTCCACCACCCCCATCCAGTGAGGCCCTCAATGGCACAGTCCTTGACCCCTTAGACCAGTGGCAGCCTGAAGGCTCCCGATTCATCCACCAGCAGGTAAGGTGGGGACAGGGGCTGGGAAGCCCCCAGAGGCTTTGGGGGCAAAAGGAGCCTATCTGGCTGGGCCTTGGGGAGCTGGTAATGGAATGGAATTGGGGAAATAGCTCTCCCAGACCAGACACTGCTCTTTTCACCCACCACGTGAGGGGGGCAGTGACCAAGTGTTAATCACAGGTCTCTTGGCCAGACTGGAAATTCCCTGATGAGACTGGCTGTGAGCAGGAACCTCCTGGGGGTGACTTGGGCTGCTTCTGTCCCCTATTCCTTTTCCTCCCCTCAGGGGGGCTCTGAGCATTCTCTCTCCTGCAGCCTCAGTCCTCATCACCTGTGTATGGCTCCAGTGCCAAAACTTCCAGTGCCTCGAACCCTCAGGACAGCTCTCCGTGTTCCCGAGTGGGTGAGGAGGAGCACGTCTACAGGTACTGCCCAGCCCCTCCCCGGCTACCTTCACTTTCTGCCTAGAAATCTCAGGGACTTGGCCAGGGCTAGAGGCAGCTTGAGGCTAAGAACCAGGCATGATAACTGGTGCTCAGGGGGTTCTGTCTCCAGGGTCGTGGTTTAAGCTGCAGAAGGCCCTGAAGCCCTGTTTGGCTCTTACGCCTCTTGGCCTGTCTGCTTAATCACTGCCATCTCCTTGCAGTGGCCAGGCCCGGCTGTCACAACACATCTGTAGTTGAGGAACTGAAGCAAGACTTCCTTCTTCCCTCTTTTACTACATCCCTTCTCTGCCCTCAGTCTTCTTGCTAGGGGAGACTTGTATCCCTTCTGCCTAATTTTTCTTAAGATTCTAGGGACCGAAAGCTGGCTCAAGGCCAGGGAGTATCTCACCGTCTTCTTTTTTTTGCTTAAGCTTCCCCAACAAGCAGAAATCAGCTGAGCCTTCCCCCACCGTAATGAGCTCCTCCCTGGGCAGCAACCTTTCTGAACTTGACCGCTTGCTACTGGAACTGAACGCTGTGCAACATAACCCCCCTGGCTTCCCTACAGGTAGGACTGGGCCCTGGACGGGGGTCTGCCAGATCCCCCATGCCCAACTGCTGCCACATCACCCACGCCCAACTGCTGGGTCAGGGGCTGAGCAGCCTTTTTCTCTCTCTCCAAGATGAGGCCAACTCAAGTCCCCCACTTCCTGGGGCTTTGAACCCCCACTATGGCATCCCGGAGAATAACAGTCCCCTGGGGGGCAAAGCTGGGCCCCTGACAAAAGAGAAACCTAAGCGGAATGGGGGCCGGGGCCTGGAGGATGTGCGGCCCAGTGTGGAGAGTCTCTTGGATGAACTGGAGAGCTCCGTGCCCAGCCCTGTGTGAGTACCCGCAGGGACAAGGCCACCTGGCTTGGGCGGTGGGGGGATGAAACCAAATAATCACTGTAAAACACTTGGATTGGTTTCTGGCTCGTAACCCATGGTACACATGGCAAGTGGTTAATAACATGAGCTCTTGTAAGTGTCACCATGTTATTTTATTTTATTCTTGCAGTTTTTGGCCAGGGTTGGGTTTGAACCCGCCACCTCTGGTATATAGGGCCAGTGCCCTATTCACTGAGCCACAGGTGCTGCCCGATCTTGTTATTTTAATAATCTCAACCTATGGACAGCATTATGAAGGAAACACATAGGGTGCTGGGCTGGTTAAGGCAAGCTTTTACTGGGGCGGGGAGCCAGAGAAGTCTTCTTGGGGAAGGTGCTGTTTGAACTCCACTCTCCTATCCCCAGCCAGCTCCCCTGGGAGCTCTCCTTCTTGCTAATAGCCCCACCCCAATGATGGGTCCCCAGGAAACATTGGGAGCCAGTGGGCTTCCCTGAGACTGGGAGTAGTGAGACCCAGTGTCAGAGCTGAGATGTTGGTCTGTTCCCTGGGGAAGCTCTGGGCTCCCTGCTGAAGCCATGCCTGCCCCACAGCCCCGCCATCACTGTGAACCAGGGTGAGATGAGCAGCCCTCAGCGAGTTTCCAGCCAGCAGCAGACGCGCATCTCGGCCTCTTCTGCCACCAGGGAGCTGGACGAGCTAATGGCCTCACTGTCAGATTTTAAGGTGCCCTGCACCCCCTCCCTCTTCCCTGTCCTGACGCCCTCCCTCCTCTTTCTCCACCCTTACCTCAGTGTGAGTCTCTGGACCTTGGCCCTTTAGTGTTTGGGTGCCTCACCCCTGGGCTAGGGAACCTGCAATACCCTGGCCTTGCCAGGATACCAGTTTATAGGGTAGGGAGGGCCAGGCTAGTCTGCATCAGGATTGAACTGCCTTGGCAGCCAGTGAAGACAGAGAAGCCAGAAAAAGGCCTAGCTGGGACATTGCTTCTCTGGGTACTCCCAGCTACTCAGGGTGAGGGGATCAGGAGGCCGGGACACTAGGACAAAGGGCCCTGTGTGATGGCTGTCCTTGGTGGGGGAGGGTGTTCTATGCTGGGCCATGTGGGACTTAGGATCCCATGCCTAAGAGGTCAATTGCCCTGGAGCCCCATCTCCCACGCTAGCTGTCCTCAACACATCCTCTTTCTTTTCTCCTCTGGCTCTTGAGTCCATGGGTTTCCCTTACCACCCTCATCCTACCCTCCCCTCTCTGTCTCCAGGGACTGGCAGTTGGGCCTCTGAGTTCCCACAGGTTCTGTCTGGTAAAGCACTGGGCCAGTCCAGCACACAATGCCCCTTCTGCTCCCCTTCCAGACCTCCCAGTCCTGCCAGCCCCAGGATGTTTTGTTTAGAGGATGCAGTGCCTCGATGGGGGTTGATATTGACAGAACTCTCCAGCAGTTGCTAACTTAACACTTCCACGTGGGTCAGCCAGACACATTTGAGGCATGGCTCAGGGATTATGAGAAAGGGAGTGAGTGACCCACTCTTAGCCTTGATGGTGCCTCCGAGCTGCCCTTCAGCTGAGGTTTTACAGTGGAAGGACAGGAACATGGCTGGAGTAGGGAGTGAGGCTGGGCCTGTGACTCTGGAATTAAGTCTGTGCCATAATTCTAGCTTCAAGTCACTAAACAGTCACAATCAGAAGTAAGTAAGTTGAAATCAGGTGTTGGCCTAAGGGAGCCTTGCCCTAGTGTCTTGCAGGCTGTTGTCCTTGTTTTAATGCCCAGTGAGAAGCTGCCTTGGTGCTGGCCATGCCCAGGGAGCAGGGGCTCAGCAATATGGGAAAGCTGGGATTGTCTAGGAAGGACATAGTGCAAGTTTTTGAACCAGTGTCCAAGGAGACTACGCAGTTTCCTGGGGCTGACCTGCATGGTCACACGTCTCACCATTGTCCACCCGATTTTAGTCTTTTCTCCCTTATACTGCTGTGGGTGGCCCCATAGGCATGGCTTAGGAGCTGCTTTCTGGCCTGGGTTTGGTGAAAGCCAAGTACACAAAGCCCAGGAAGGCCTCTTTGGTGTCTGGCTCTTCTTTGTGAGTCAGTCCCATGCATCAGCTCTGAAGCTACCTTCATCAGTATAGACAAGGACTCAGAGCACTAAGGCTGAGCCCACTCCTTTCAAGGAGCAGCCTTCCTCATCTCTCCCCATCTTTCTTCTTCCCTGCCTTTGTCTTTCTCCTCTTCTAGACCAGCTCCTCCACCGTGACTCTGATCTCCCCAGGGCTGCTGCCCAGCTCTGCTTCATCCACGTACCACTTACTTTCTCCTTCTCCCCCTCCTCCCAAGCTCTCCACCAGTAAATCCTCCCCTCGAGACCAGGGCCATACCCCAAAGACCCCCTGCACTAAGCAGAGGGGACAGGGCCTTCCACCTCCTTTGGCCTCTAGCTGGCTTGATTTGGCTGGTCTTGGGGTGATGTCTAACACCTGCAGTTCAAAGTATCTGTCTGTGGAGAGTTCCCTGGGGCTATTTGGTACAGAGAGCAAGGCTCAAGATTGCAGGCACCTGCCAAACCTCACAAATAAGCTCTCTGGGGCTCCTCTCTGCCACACTCTACCCTGCACTGGGAGCACAAGTCCCCAGGAGCCTGGGGACCCCCAGGGGCCACCAACCAATCCTTTGTGTCTAGAGAAGGCTGTGACTGCCACATGGGAGCAGCCATGGACTTTGGAGGTATTGAGGCCTGAGACTCCCAGTGGAGCTACTTACAGCTTCCAAGAAGTTACTGAGCCAGCTGTCATGGCAGTGGACCGTCAGGCCATCTTCCCAGATACCTGGAGTCTCACGGAGGGACATGGCCAGTGGAAGGAGCAGGCCAGGCCAGAGGCAGGGAGGCTGGGAAGTAACAGCCCTGCTCCAGTTAACATGGATCACTTGGGTAGAGAGATGTCCAAGAGGGAAAGCCTGATCAGGCCAACCCAGGGATCTGAGACCCCAAGGAGCGTGGAGAACACCACTGAAGCTGCTACTGAGGCCAGGAAGGAACGGCTGGAGCTTCCACATGCCATGGTCATGGGCACACGAAACACTACGGAGAGGATTTCTACCTCTGGCCAGGCAGGCGCCAGCTTACACGGCTGCTAGGCATGGTCCTTGGCGGGTTTGAGTATGGGCCACTCCTCACTAACTGCATGCAGCCTCCCAATCTGTGCATGTCTGCTTGGGCAGAAAACACTGAGATATTGTGGCCTGCAACCCAATGACCAGCATATCGCAATGGGCTTTGCGGGACTAGCAGAGCTCCCTGGACCCCAGCATTTCTCATAGTGGCAGTGCACCTCCTGCTTGGTTAAGGCATCTTTCTGTTAAAGATGAGCTGCCCTTGACATTCCAAAATGTGTGAAATGGCTAAAAGCATGGACTTTGGAACCGGATAGACCTAGCTACAAACCACACCTCCATCACTTGCTACCTCTGTGACCTTGGGCACACTATCTCATAGCCTCAGTTTTCTCATCTTTAAAATGGGGATAATAATAGCCCATCTCTACCAAGGTTGTCCAGGCAACTAAATAATTTGTGGCAAGTGTTTGAAACACAACACATGTCCCCAAGTAAACTGTGGCTGACAGTACTGGCATTACTATTTACATCTTGCTTGGTTAAAACTATGTCTTTTCCAAAAATAAAACAAAACAGAACCCCCTAAAACACTATAGCCAAAAGTATAATATAGTATAATAATATAAACTGGAAAAAAAGTCATTAAAAGATTTATTGGTGGCTCAGCGCCTGTGGCTCAAGCAGCTAGGGGCCAGCCACATACACCTAAGCTGGCAGGTTCGAATCTGGCCCAGGCCTGCCAAACAACAATGACAGCTGCAACCAAAAAACAGCTGGGTGTTGTGGTGGCGCCTATAGTTCCAGCTACTTGGAAGGCTGAGGCAGGAGACTAGCTTGAGCCCAGGAGTTGGAGGTTGCTGTGAGCTGTGATGCCATGGCACTCTACCCAGGGCAACAGCTTGAGGCTCTGTCTGGAAAAAGAAAAAAAGATTTATTGGAAGGAAAGAAGGTAAAATTACAAATTAAAAAAAGAAAAGAAAAATCCTTATGTCCTGTCAAGAGCGTCCATCCTCTCAAACAATTCTTGCAATGGTTGGAATCGGTGCTTATGCCTGTAATTGTAGCACTCTGGGAGGCTGAGGCAGGTGGATCTCTTGAGCTTAGGAGTTTGAGACCAGCCTGAGCAAAAATAGCCAGGCATGGTGGCAGGCTCCTAGTAGTCCCAGCTACTCAGAGGCTAAGACAAGAGGATTGCTTGAGCCTAAGAATGTGAGGTTTCTGTGAGCTGTGACACCACAGCACTCTACCAAGGGTGACAGAGTGAGACTGTCACAAAACAAAACACAATTCTTGCAATGACCCTGTGAAGTAAGCCAAGAAAATACTGTTACGGTATTTTTTTTTCCTGGGAGATAAAGTCTTAATTTTGTCGCCCTTGGTAGGGTGCCGTGGCATCACAGCTCACAGCAACTTCAAATTCTTGGGCTCAAGCAATCCTCTTGCTCCCAAGTAGCTGGGACTACAGGTACCCACCACATGTCTGGCTATTTTTTTTAGACACCGGGTCTCCCTCTGGCTCAGACTGGTTTTGAACTCATGAGCTCAGGCAGTCCACCTAACTTGGCCTCCCAGATAATAGGATTACAGGCGTGAGCCACTGTGCCAGGCCTCTGTTACTATATTTTAAGGATGGAGAAGTGGAGGCCCATGGAAATTAAGTGTCTTGCCCAAAGTCAGAGGCTGATTTGAAGGTGAATGCTGGGTCAGAGGTCTCCCAAGCTAGTCTGATCTGCCCCCTGCCTCAACTACTCCTCAGCTTGGCTCTTCTTGGTGGTTTTGTTCTGCTCTTCCATCCCTTGGGGCACCTGAGTATGGACAGAGCAGCATTGTGCCCAAACTTGACCCTAGAGTGGGGGGTGTGACAGCCTCCTCCTCCCCTTCCCCCAGATCTGCTCCACGATCAGGAGCCGGGAGACGGGCCGTGCACATCCCAGGTCCCGGGAGCCCTCTCCTCGCCGCCGGCTGGACCCTGCCACCTTGAGCAGGACCCCGTCCCAGGAGCGGCTCATCGCAGAGCTGCAGGGTCGGCTGGGTATCCAGTTGGAGGCAGAGGAGGCAGCAGAGGCCTCTGCCCAGGACTGGCTGACTGAGGGCGTCGTCATCACTGTGCAGCCATGCAGGAAGCGGGCCGGGGGGCAGCTTGTAGAGAAGGTGGCAAGGAGATGCCAGGGGCCAGGCCAGGTGGCAGGGGTCCAGGTTCTCCTCTGGCCCCAGCACTGGCCAGTGGGGAGATCTGGGGGTAATAGGGGTGGTCTGGCATCCCATGGCTTTGTAAGACTGGCCTTACTCTTGGTGCCAGTGTGGGAAGGCTGGGGGGAGCCCAGGATGTCCTTCTAACCCCCATGGGCTGAGCTGATGATGTCTCGTGTCTTCATCTCTTTCCCTCCTTTCTTCTTCCCAGGTTGTCTTCCCTCCTGGCTCTCCCATTCCCCTGAGAAGAACCATCTCTGTCCTGGCTTCTCCTCCTCCTTTCCCTTTACTCCAGCATCGCAAAGACTCTTCGGCCAGCAGCTCCTCTCCCTTGCCCAGCCTGCCTTCCCCCTCCCCTCCAAGGCCTTCAGCTTGTACCCGTGGTTTTCCTGGGGTCCCAAGTGCAGGGGAAGAGCCCCAGGACGAGGATGTGCAGGGTCCCGCCCCTCCTACTCCTGCATCCCACACCATGAGGTCCGTGGGCTGCCAGACCGACGAGGACCCACTCTTCCCCCCAATGCAGGCAGGCCTCCCAGGCGCCCCAGCGCCAGCCCTTTCTGTCTCTTGTCCTAATATCTGAGCTGCCCTTCCCACTCTGCACACGTGTATTCATGTACACACAGACACACACAACATGCTTTGCCCCTCCACCCACAGTCCTTCCTTAGACCTTGACCCTGGGCCCTCACTGGACTTGATGCCCATACCCCCGTCTCTTGCCACATCAGCTGCAGGGTCCCCACTCTGCCTGGTCCTCAGGCTTCCACCTGAGGAAACCACTCCTAGAGGGACAGCAGCAACCCATCTCCTCCCCCAGACCCAGCACCTGCTGAGGCCTCTGTGTGCTCTGACCACCACTCCCTTCCCATGTACTGTACCTTTGGGTGGCTCACCTCCCTCTCCCTTTTCATCTCTTAGGCCTTCCTTTTTGGATTTTTTCCTCCTGATTTTATCAGTGGAAGAAAAAAAATCCTCTCATCCTAAATTCCCTTTTGTGAAATGGTCCAGTGGCAAGGTCTCTTATTCTGTCTTAACTTTTAAAAAGTATTTCTTGTCCTCATCTCCTCCCCTAAGATCCAGGGCCTGGAAGAAACAGTGGATGGGGAGCAGTGCTGGGCAGACGGCGGGCAGAGCAGCCCTGTAGGGCAGGACGAGGGAGGGGTCAGTGCGAGGGCTGGGGGCTGAATTGTACATTGTGTTTTCCCTGGGCTTGCTCATACCAGTAGGGTGCCAGGAGCCTTTCTCTTGACCCTCTGTGGGCTCCTCTGACCACCAGAAGGACCTGCTGATGTCATTTCCACATTCAGGGCACTTCTAGCCCCTAGAGGAGGTTATACTTTTTTTTTTTTTAATTTGAGACAGAGTCCTGAGTAGCTGGCATTACAGGTGCCTGCCACAACACCCAGCATTAGAGACAAGGTCTCTGTCTTGCTCAGGCTGATCTCGAACTCCTGAGCTCAGGCAATCCACCCACCTCGGCCTCCTAAAGGGCCAGGATTACAGGCATGAGTCACTGCGTGGCCAATGTTGTACTTTTTGCTTCAATTAGCCCATCTGTTCAGAAGGGAGAAGACTGCCCCCTCCATGTCATGCCATGATGCTGTGAGGCCCCATACACCAAGCCTGAGAGTCCTGACCAACCCTCTCCCTGTCTCCACAGTTCATGGCCCAAGGGAAGACAGGGAGCAGCTCACCCCCTGGGGGACCCGCAAAGCCTGGGAGCCAACTAGACAGCATGCTGGGGAGTCTGCAGTCTGACCTCAACAAGCTGGGTGTTGCCACGGTCGCCAAAGGGGTCTGTGGGGCCTGCAAGAAGCCCATCGCTGGACAGGTGATGGGAGGGAGGTGGTGGCTGGTGGGCACTGTGCTCCCCTGGGGGGGCATGCTCCCTAACTGGCCTCCACCTTGTACCATAGTCCGTCTTCCTCCTCAGGTTGTGACTGCCATGGGGAAGACATGGCACCCGGAGCACTTTGTCTGTACCCACTGCCAGGAGGAGATCGGATCCCGGAACTTCTTTGAGCGGGATGGACAGCCCTACTGTGAAAAGGACTATCATAATCTTTTCTCTCCACGTTGCTACTACTGCAATGGCCCCATCCTGGATGTGAGTACCCTTGTGTGCGTGCAGGAAGGGGCAGTGTGGGCCTTCTGTCCAGGCACTGCATCTACATTGGCTCACTTTGTCTTTATTGGAGCCCTCTAAGGGTGCAGGTGGTACCATTGGATGCTCTGAGAGGTCATGGCACATCCTGAGGTTCACACACCTAGGAAATAGGTGGGCCAGGATTCAAACCCAGGCCTGATTCACAGCCTCCCCCAGTGCACATTAGGTAGCTGCATCCTGGATTCCCTTCTGCTAAGACTCCCAAGGTTCAGAAGCTCTGACCAGGCAAACGAAATTGGATGTCACTGTTTCCTGTTCCTGCTGTGTGATATTAGGGATAAGCCTAGGCTCTCTGTGCCTACATTTCTTCACTTGTAAAATGGGAGTTAAAATAGAGTTGATACCATGTGAAGATTGAAGGTTCACTTGTAAAATGGGAGTTAAAATAGAATTGATACCATGTGAAGATTGAAGGAGAGAGCATATGTCTGGCATATCATGTCCCTCAGTAAATCTGAATTCTTTTTTTTTTTCTTTTTTTAAGACAGAGTCTTACTTTGTCACCTTCGGTAGAGTGCTGTAGTGTTATAGCTCACAGCAACCTCAAACTCTTGGGCTTAAGTGATTCTCTTGCCTCAACCCCCCAAGTAGCTGGGACTACAGGCATCCAGCTATTTTTTTAGTTGTTGCAGTTGTCGTTGTTTGAGCTGGCTCGGGCAAGGTTCGAATTGATTAGCCTTGGTGTATGTGGCTGGCCCTATCCACAGAGCTATAGGCACTGCTTAAATCTGAATTATTGTTATTAATTTTTTTTTTTTTTGCAGTTTTGCCCGGGGCCAGGCTTGAACCTGCCACCCCTTGTACATGGGGCTGGCGCCCTACTCCTTGAGCCATAGGTGCCGCCCTGAATTATTATTATTATTTTTTGAGACAGAGTCTTGCTATGTAGCCCTTGGTAGAGTGCCGTGGTATCACAGCTTACAGCAACCTCAAACTCTTGGGCTTAAGTGACCTCAGCCTCCCAAATAGCTGGGACTACAGGTGCCTGCCACAACACCCAGCTATTTTTGTTGTTGTTGCAGTTGTTGTTGTTGTTTGAGCTGGCTTGGGCCAGGTTCAAACCCACCAGCCTTGGTGTATGTGGCCTGGTGCCCTACCCACTGAGCTATGGGCACTGCCTAAATCTGAATTATTATT